GAGGAATTCCTTTAGCGATACTGGAACCTCTCCCGCCCGCTCCCTCCCGCCACCCCGCGTCTTCTTCTTCTTCTTCTTCTTTTCTACTCGCTCGTCCCTTCCTCCCGTCCCTTCTGGCCCAGAGACCCCGTGCTTTTTTACTGGTTTATGGGATTTTTTTCACGCGGACCGTCGAGTCGTACATCAGAGAGAGCTGACTGTGAGTCTTCTCTCCTTCTTTCTTCCACCAACGCGCTGGACTCTCATACGCTTTGGCGAGAAAGAAATGGAGGAAGGGGGAGAGGGGCGCGCGAGAGAGAGAGAGAGAGAGCAAAGGGAAAGAACAATAAAAAAGAGTAAATGCCAGCCGCCATAAAAACAACTGAAAGTATTAAAAACTTTAGACCTTTTACTGCCGAGCTGCCTCAGAGGAGCGCGGTTGGATATATGCGTGTTGAGCCACGACGATGATGATGACGACGACGACGACGATGACGACCACGTTGCATCGGTACGTTCCCGAGCACTTTGCGATGATACTCGCGCGATTAAATGTATGAAATTTAACATTAAGCGCAACGATAATGCAATGATCAATGCTGAATTAAATCGATTACTTGCTGCCTTCGTCTTTGACCGCCGTCGCGAATCCACATCTTTTTCTGTGTGTCGCAATTATAGCGGGGGCGAGAGAGAGGGAGTATATCGCAGATATTTATATTAAACACGGGGAAACCCCCCCGATTGAGGTACTTTCTATACCGATATCATCGCAATTAATACCGCCGTGTATCTGCAACGCGGACGACAAAAAGCGCCACGTGCGAGTGAAGTTGAATATATTACTTGCGCGAGTGTGAGCGTCATTAAAAGCACGAAGATTACATCGTATCCTACGTTTTCATCGACATATCACGCGTCTCACGTCTTCGCGTCTCGCTGTCGCGCCGCGCGGCGCGTATGGTCTTAATTAACTTCGTATATATGTATTTATATCAGAGATAATATAGGGAGATAAAAGTCCACGCGCAATTAAATGCGAGCGCTCGAAATTCGGCGGCGCTACCCGCGCGGCCGCTGTACTTAACGGCGATGACTTAAGATTTCGCACGTAATTAACGAAATTAACATGCAATTATATCGAGGATGATAGATTGAACTGGTGAAAAATGTAATGACCCACGAGTGTGTGGAAATCGTGCGTCGGGTTCGAGGGAGAAGAAGGGCCACTGTAAACAAAAGCAGATGAGGATCTCGTCGGCGAGCCGCGCGGCGGACCGTGGAAGAAAAAGAAAGACGCAGACCCCGTGAGAGGAGGAGGGAGGAAAGGAAAAGAAGGAGGAGGAGGAGGAGGAGGAGGAGGAGGAGAAGGAGGACGGCCGGCCCTCGTAAAATTATCGTACTTTAATAAAACGTGTCGTGCAAAACGCGAGGATAACGAGAAAATATAGGGTTCGAAAGACTCGTGAAATTTATAGAGCGATCGCTGCGCCGGCGCGCCGGAGGAGTCTCGCTTTTTGGAGTCGCGCCGTTCGGGCCGGCCTCGTTGGCCCGTTCTCGGCCACTGAGCCACAATAAGATCCGGAATAAATCAGCCGAATGTCCGCCATCCGAGCCCGAGCACTTGGTAGCTTAACGGGCAAAAATCCGCCGCGTCGCAAAGGAGCTTTCTGCGATTCCGCGGGACGGCCGGGGAGGGAAAGTCGCGCTTCGCGAACTCGACAAACTCCGAACACGGCAACAGGTGTCTCCTCTGGAATATGCGTTGCGGTCCAAGCCGCGGTTAGCCGCGGAGGGGGTAGCCGGGAAAAGCGCTCGGTCGGAAGAATAAGCGAAAATTTTCGTACCCGCCTATCACGTTTCTTTCCGACTAAATAAAATGGGGACTATTGAGCTGCTCGTTAGATTCTGTTCGACCTTTCCAGACGCACATTGTGCCGACTGGAACGTCTGGATGGGCAGCACAGGTGACTACTATTACCAGCTTCGACTGGAGAATAAGCAACTGTACACTCAGCGAGATGCCTCGATCGCGACTACGTACGTCTCGCGCGCGAGCAATTTTCTGCAATTGAAAACAAATTAAAGCGCTCCCTTCGACGATTTCCCTCTGCGACGCAACGTTCGGTTCATCCAGCCGCGACAGATGCGAGCTCAGTCGCTCTCTTGCGCAAGCGAGAGCAACTCCTCTCGCAAAGCGGCCGCGCGGCGACGCTTCTTTCTCAGTGCCGAGCGAAATCTCTTAATCCAAACAGTGGCTAATTTAGCAAATCCGACGAGATAGCGCGATAAGAGCGAGATAGAGAAGCGCCCGGATGAACGAGACTAGAGAGGGAGACGAGCGACGGAGCTGCAATTTGGTAGCGAACGCTGTAAATTCTCGATTCTTTAATCTCGGCAAACCTCCATTGCCTCCCAGTGATCCCCCCGGAGACCCCTTCGCGGTCTAGCGAGAGATCGCGGTGCTCCTCGAGGGCGCTTTGCGCGCGCACACACACACACACACATGCACGTACATAGAGATGCACAACACACACACACATACGCGCACACATACACGTGTACACGGCGCGTCGAGGGAGCCTCCGAGCAGTAAATCTCGCGGACAAACAATCATAATTTTCGAAGAGCTAACAAAAAGCAAGAGACTCTTTAAAGGGAGCCGATGCCAGGCAACATGAAATGCGGCCGCCTCCGCTCCTCCAATTGTTTCGCGGTTTTCTTCCCTCTCCCAGTCGGAGCAGTTCGCGTTTCTCTCCGTTCGGCTCGACCCTTTTCTTCCCTTCCTCTCTGTCCTTCGTCCTTTCCTCCTTTTGCCGATATACGCTGCGACGTATATCAACGTACACGACGCCCCGGCTGTCCTCCGTCCTCCTCTCCTCATCCTTCTCTACCTCTTCCTTCTCCTCCTCCTCCTCCTCCTCCTCCTCCTTCTCCTCCTCCACTACATTCTCTCGTTCGTCCTCTCCTCTCCTCTCCGATTCCTATATTCCATCTTTCTTGATTTCTTCATCTCTTCCCCGTGTCCTGCCTTCGTTACGTTCGCCACTTTCTCGCGATTGTTTCTTTGTGTCGTTTTTGCGCGACTCCTCGATTACCCATAGTCGATCGATACTCGCAACGCTCTCTGTCGTTACCTAAGATCGTTTCCATGCTCTTTAACCCTTCTCTAATGACTGTCTAGTTTTTACAAAAGTTTTAACTTTATTTTTTTTATCGATTGGGATTAAACGCTTTGTTACGCCAATACCAAATTAAAAAGTTTAATCACAAAATGAACGGGTCACACTAAACTTCGCTCGCTTGTCTTTAACGTATCTTTTGTCTTTTTGTTTTGTTTTGTAGTTTTTTGCCTGTTGTACGTTGCGCGAAACAGCCGAAATAATTCTGGCAAAAGCTCCTTGCGAGCAGAAGAATTCCGCCGTGTTGCGATAATATCGCCGAAAGGACGATATCGTGCGTTTGATTAGCGTTCGCGCACCGGCAAGATATGAAAAACCAGATTAATCCTGACAAATTATACGCCGTAAACATCGGCATACAATCGGATTACGTGTTTGTAAATCAAATAAATACGTCGGATTCTCCGTGCGACGGAACAAAACCGGGAGAGCAGTCCGTGCGACGCTTTTATCGGCGAGCGGAGCGCCGCAAATGAGAACGAGAGATGCTGGATGTAGAGTGGGCGTGTAAAGAGAGAAGGAGAGAGAAACGACAGTGACTTCCGTGAGAAAGAAACGAAAACGCAAGAAAGGAAGTGACATAATCGCTAGGAGAGCTTCCTGACGGGAGATCGAGGTCGGATTCCGACAGGAAGGTCGACATTTGTGAACGGGACGCGGATGATTTTCGGACGATCGTCTGCTGTCCGGCCGCGGAGGATTTAACGTCGACGTGTCGGAGTAAACTGTACGTTATCATGGCGTGCGGTAGTATTATTGCGAACGAGAAAATCGAGAGGAGGCCTCCCTCTCGTTCAGGACGAAAAAGAGGAAGGCCACGAGGCTGAAGCGAGATGGCAGCGGCATTCGGACGGCTCGAGACGCGCGGGTATATTCTGCCAAATTGATCCGCGCTCGAACATAAAAGCCGAGCGAATAGCCGTTGGCGTGTCACGGCTCGCGAGATTTCCGGCGAGCGGATTTTTATCGCGGCGAACTCCGCGAAAGCGTCAGAAACGTTCGCACGGGCTAATTTCGGTCCCCGAGACGCGCTTCACAACGACGCGGAAAGTTTGGGACACGAGAGCTGCCAACTTCTTTGCCGCTTCTCGCGCGGCAACCCGTCAAAGCTGTGACATAACTTGAGCACATTATCGCTAACATTGTCCGGGTCGAGAAAATCTGAGAAAAGTTTACGAGCGACGCCTATCAGCGCTGCGAACAATAGAAACAATAGAAATAGACGCAGGAATGCAACGAGCGCATAGGGGAGTATCTATGAAATTTCTGTCGTGACAGGAACATAGATCCCCTGCCTCAACGCAAAACAAGAATGAAAAAAAGAAACTAACATAACTATTAACGCGTGTCGTACGTCACGAGAGGCGAACCGCTGATTTGCACAATTACATTACGCAATTCATTAAAACTTATATATCGAATATAATACATAATTCCTCTTCTAGCATAACATATACGGTAATATGCGTATGTAAAATTATTGATGAAAGAGACACTCGGGTTGATGCAGTTGATGCCTTCCCCCTTGATGTCTTTTTTCATAAACTGTTCCAACGATTAGCAAAGAATTTAAAAAATCTTTAGGCTGATCATTGTCTAAGAAATTAAATAGCATTTGGAAGATTGATCAATATCCATAGATGTTACCAATATCTATCGCTGTTACCTTCAGTACAATCAATACCAATGCAAAGCAATCCAAAAAGCCCAAAAAGCCTTGGTATTGGATAGTTAAATTTGCCTGAGGTTTAATCCTCGTTAAATCAACAAAACGTCGATTCGGACGACACGGACGTCGACCAATCGATCGCTCATACAAGAGCCGAAAATGGACTTTACCTCTTCCTCTCTAGTTGGTATCACCGTTCCTTCCACGAAGCACTCCCATCGGTATGATCACCATAGTTCTGACGCGTGCTCCGGCGACGAACCCAGCAAGCCAGTTACCGATTATCCACACTAATCACCCCGACTATTCAACCTCGGTCTCTTCACTCCAATATGTGACAATTCAATACAGCTCGCGCACCAAACTCGCAGAGGGTCTGCGATCGAGATCACTCACACCGAACAATCCAGATTACAGTCTTTGAATTCGTCGCCGATCACACCGATCCAATCAACGATCGACCTCCGATACGAAGCTCTCTGAGACTTGTTGGGGGAGTACTATTTCACGGAAAATACGGGACAGACATCAGCTCCTCGAGATCGTCCACCTCTGATTCCAACACCCCGAGACCACTTCCACCCTCACCGACTGTCACCGGTCACCAAAATGCGAACACTTTGCGCGCCACCCTGAACACTATCACTCCTCGGACTCCGGGAAGTGTTCAAATGATTATACGACATCCTCGGTCAAGCCTGGCCTCTCAGTTGGAGGATTTAGTGGCCTTCCCAATCGATCAACACTAATTTTTCTCGTTCTGGTGATTAAGTCTCATGACGCACTATGTTGAACCCAAATTGCGGTCCAAAGACTCTCCACAAACTAGAATTGCTAATTTGTCACGATGTGGAAGGAAGGAGGTGGGGGGAGGAGAGGAAAGATCGTTTCTTGTCTTGGATCAAAGGGGCATAAAGGCGACAGTTTCGATAATGGCACACCGATGGATGCAGGTCGCACCTAATCAACGTTCCCGACCGAGTACGCGGCACCAAGACGCGATCGTGAGAAGCGGGTCATTTCCGGGAGTAGTCGCGACGCTCGGAAACTGTCGCTCCGACGAGTCCTCGTTGCTCGGAAGGGTCAATCGCGTAGGAGCCGCGCGGGTTCTCCACCCGTGGAACTCGATGTGTGTCTTCGATTCCCGAGGCTGTCTAAGCACCCGCGATGAAGAGGGAGGCGCGCGCTCGCGCGCCCGCGTCCGATCGAGAGGGGGAAGAAGTGGGGGTGGTCTTCCGGACCTCGCGTCCGAAGAGGGCGGTTCGCTTCGCGTCTTCCTTAGACTCGCGCAAATTTGCTCGCCGCGCGCGCGTTTCCACCGCCACCCCCGAACCGACGATGACAACGCCGACGACGACGACGACGACGACGACGATGACGACGACGACGACGACGACGACGACGACGGACGCCACCCCGCCGCCGATAATGATGCTTTTGTCGCCACGAAGGAATATCGGATGGTCTATCCGGTTCTCCGGCTTCTCCACCGAGCCCGGAATGTCAGAGAGGAGAGTGCGCGTGGCTCGGCTGGCGCGAGATGACTGAACCCCTCCGAAGGGTGAGAGACAGAGACGGCGGAGAGGGGGACCAGGGGAGGTAGAGAGGGAGGGAGGAGAAACACGCCGATCTCCCCCTGGCCCCTCTTTCACCGACAGAGAAAGACCGCGCGTTTCAAGGGTCCCCACCAAGAGGTTGTTGGAGGATGCCCCACCCCGTCGAGAGCAGTGACGCGTCGCATTCTCCCCGCCTTCGCCCGTCGTCCCACCGCCTCCCACCCCCGACAAAGAGCGTCGTTGCCCCTTCCCAGCTGGCCGCCGGCGTCGTCGCGATACACGGCTGCGACGAACGACGACGACGACGACGGGGGCAAAGAGACGGAGTTCTGCCACCGCCGCGCGACTCCTTCCTCTTCTTCCGCTCCGCGCGATCGCTGTCGCACGCATTCGTCCACCGGCTGGCGAGCCGCGCGTACCGCTCCTCGCGTCGCCGTCGAGCAGCCCCTGCAGCGCGCGCACGCGGGGGTGGCTACGCGGAAAACGTTAACCCCTTTACGATCGAGGATGGTATAATGGAGTTACTCGAGTTAGGCGACTTTTTTCATCGTACTTTAAAGTCGAATCGGGAGGTTTTGCGTTTTCGTGCACACGTAATGTACGAAGCGACGATGGGAATTTTTCAAATAGGACTCGACGCGAGATTATTTCTGATATATACAATTGGTTTGCTAACGATGGAGAAGTCATTTCCCGACTATCTCTTCATGATGATGCATTTATAAAGTCAGTTAACTTTAGCCATATGTGAGGCTCATGTAAAATTGTTGTATCATTACGATATTCAATTTTCCGTCATATTTTTACTAACTAACTTATAATTAACTCTACGTAATTTTGTTACATGGTGAAACACGCGATGAATGAAGACAAAACGGTTCAATACGCCATTATGTTTCGCGAGTAGGGAGAGTCGAGCAGGATTTTGGAGTGCATTAATTTTCCACCCCTGCGCAGAATCGCCACTTTATCCTGCACAGGACGGTTCCATCGACCAATGACGTCACTCGAGTACCCTCCAAGGACACTCCTACTTTTTACCCCCCTAGAAGGTCCTTGTCGATGCTATACTTGTGATGCTTATCGCCGATGCGTTACGCAGGGGTTGGCAATTATTCGGGATTTCTGTGGATGTCGCTAATTGAGGGAAAATTAGGGACACCATTCCGCTGCGAGAAATGGGACGCGATCAAAGGACTCGGAAGAACAATAAAACTGAGGCCAGAGTAAAAGGAGATAGAGGAAAGAGTTCTATTTTCGCGACGAAACACGATCGACCCAAAAATAGACTGAAACATCCGACACGGTTGCTAACAATTTCTAAATAAATGCGCTTTTAATCAGGGATTTTTCCTCCCACTAATGATCGATTCCAAAGAAATGATAAGAAACAAAGAATCGGGGGATACGTTGGTTTAATTTCTTTCCTCCTTTTTCTTCCACGTACTTGTTGTTCCCGTTACGTTTCTGATACATGGCGACATTAATATCCCTTCCAACTTTTAGATTGACGTTTCCGAGCTATTTACATCGTGCGGGTAGCTTGTAACGGGGATTAAGGATGATTAAAGCTGAAAAGAGTCATAAACGAAAATGGGCCTGATTCACGTGATTATACCAGTCCGCGCCGTGTGAACGTTCCTCCTGCCTTTTGATTTCTTAACGCGCTCATTTATCACAATTATCGTCCCGTTCGTATTTATATTCCTATATCTCTTATATATTTCTCGGACGCTAGTGCATATGTTACCGGTATTACGCGTCTCATCTACTTATCGAAATTCCACCGATTATCCTCCTTATACACAGCGCGAAGAAATATACGTTACATTACTCACACTAAGAGAAAAATATAGTTGCTTTCGGCTATACTCCTTTGCGATTTTAACCATAAAAATAGTTAGGAAAACCATTGTTTTAGTAAATGTTATTAGAAAGATGGTTCTTCTAATTATTTTTCTGGTTAAAATCACAAAAAAGTATAGTTGACAAAAGCAACTATATTTTTTTCTCAGTGCACTTATTAAATAAATAATTATTTTAATTCGTAACTTATTTCTTTTACGAACTCATCATCTAAACTATTAGTATTCGAGCTCAGTGAGGATAAAATAAGTAATGTGCGACTAATTGCTCAAGAAACCACGGGAATTGATAAAAAAATCTTGCGGTAAAAAAAATATTTGTTATAAATATCGTTTTATATATTTTACTCAAAGGGCGTTGAACTTCTTTTTAGTATTACGCTCGCAACGACTGGTCGACAATCAGGTAGTCGATTTTCGTAAAAGTAGAATGTGGGAAAAAGTCCCGGAGTCCCGTTAGGTCCCGAAAGGGTTGAAGCGGAACCCCTCAAAAATGGGTCAGGACGCCCGGGCGCCTCGCGCCGTTTCTCTTTCTCCCTCGGCGTTTTCTTAAAGGGCCGCTTAATCCACCAATAAAGTATCGTGTATCCAGGTATCGGAAATACTAGGGCACTGCATGATTTTGCGTAATGTGCCAATGATTGAGCGCGCGGATCCTTCGTACGGCTTCCGAAGGGGTTTCGATTTCCGTGAAAAGGGTTTTACCGTTTCGGGGAGCGCGTGTGAGAAAACCATTAGCTTAAGGAAACCCTTAAATAACGGAAGACCGCCCAGGGGCGAATGGGAAAAAGATCGCTCTTGATTTTTCAGGTATATGGTTGGCTCCATGTTTACTTTAATGTGTGTTTAAAAACATATGTATTTAAAAACATATGTGTGTATTTTAAAAACATATCTAGATAAATTATATAAATTAAATATTTACACGGAAAGAGAAAGGAAGAAAGAGACACGTGTATAGAAAATTTAATTAAATTTTGTCGCGGCAATTAATTTACATTTCTTCTTGATTATGTCTTAATATGATTTGATAATTTTATCACCATAATAATTTGTTTATTCTGACAATGTACACTCCTTGAAGAAAGGATTTACTAAAACATGAAAAATCCCGCGGACAAGCGAAAGTTGAATGTACTCTCTCGGAGCACTCCCGAAGTTTAAAAATATCGCTCGGTCTCAGCCCTTCCACTGAAAATATGAATTTTTTATCTCTCCCTCGCGGGCCATATGGCTGACGCGCATCTCCCGAGGGTAGGAAGACAAAAAAAGAGAGAGAAAGAGAGAGCCGGGGAGCAGGGAACGGGATTGAAAAAACCGGAGAAACTCCATAAGACGAATATTTTTAGAGTCGAATTTCCAAGGTAGTTTCCGTGGTTCCGCGCTGGCATACAGGAAAGAGGAAAGGGTTACCGTTTCTCTCTTTTTTACCGTACCGCTACTCTATCGTTTCCGCGTCTAAATCCTTCCCACCGGAGTTTCCCCTTCGCCCGCCCCCTTCTTATTTACAGGACTCCCGGATAAAGCAGATGTCATCTTGACAAATCTGTCACTCGGCGCTTCGCTTTCCGTCATCTGGTTCTTGTATTAACGCGTAAAAAAGAAAAGAAAAAAAATTCGAGATAATTAAGAATTTGAGCTGACAATCTACGCGCGACACGTTACCGACGCGGGAGAAGGGAGCCGGGGATTAAAATCCAGATCCCGGAGAAATATCGCAACGGGGGGGAGTTAATAATCCGCTTTACCCGAGCGCAATTGATTCTGTCGCGCGTGCGCGCTCGAGAGGAGCGACTGATGAAAATCGGGAGCGTCGTCGTCGGACGACGCGAAAATATCACCCCGTCGCGGCTAAACGCCGCGGATACGGCGGATCTGGCTGCGTTTTGCTGCGCGAGTGTGTGTCGTCGGCATATCTACGAGCGTTGCACCGCGGGCAATGCATCCAGCAAACGCGTTCGTACTCGTCCGACATGGAATGTGGTCCGGTTCCCGAGAGTGCGCGCGAGCGCGAGAGCGCGGGCGCGGACGCGAGCGCAGAGAGCACTGCTATAGTTCCCGTTTTTTATCGCTTCGTAATGCATTAGCCATAATAGCTGCACGCACTTAATGGACTGTAGCCTCGTTACAGTACGCCACGTCGTGGGTGGATACGCCGCTCGTCCGCTTCGGCCGCGAAGCTCACTTCATTCGTTCGTTCGCTCGCTCGTTCACTCGCGTTCTTGTCAGTCTCCGCGTGCTCATCGATATCGTGCGTTGCGTTTCGCGCGTTTTTCTTTTCATTCCCATTTTTCATTTCCATTTTATTTCCATTTTATTTCAATGTTTTCCTATTTCGATTTTATCCCGGTTATGTTTGCTTATATATTTTTTAATTAATTATTTTTATCGAACTTCTTTACTCAAAAAAAAATAGAATCTCATTCTTAGCGGAATTTTCTTACACATCACCTCCAGAGGATTCTTCAAAAACTGAAAGAAAAATATTGTAAGCATGATATTATTTCTTCTCTTCATTGGACGAGAAGCATTCTTTCGATAAATAGAATGTGGAATTATAGGAAATAGTACCTTAAACTAAAGTTCCTTCTTCAGGAGTATTAGAATATTTTTCTTTTGGTTTTAGGAGAATCCTGTTGAATCCATAACATAAGAAAATTTCTCTAAGGATAAAATTATATATCTTTGAATATGTGATTTATAGAAAAGCATGTATCACGATGTGTCTGAATTGAATTGGATTGAATACAGTATTACGATGACTCTTCGACAAGACGCGAGAATCAATGAATCCCCTCGAGCTTATGTTATTTCGTACGTTTAGCGTGTTTTCCGCGTTTAGTGCATCTCGCGAACTTGTGTCTCAGCCCGTAGATATGCAATTTCGTCCGCTCTTGCAGAAGGTAAAACCATTACTCGCGCATTACCCTCCATCATACGTCAAAGCAATCACGTTCGCTATTCTTCTTAAACAAATGGAGAAACCCGCATCGACGGTCACGATCGCATCGATCAATAATCACGCCTGCGAAAATCGCATCCCACGGTAGCGTGTTATTTACCGAGAGTCGTTCGTTCGCCTCTCGCTACGAAGGCACATGGAAA